CATGTGCGCTCTCTCTCTCTCTCTCTCTCTCATTCTCTCTCAAATAAATAAATAAAATCCCCCCCCAAAAAAGTCATCTCTATACCCAGTGTGGGGCTCAAACTCATGGACCTGAGATCAAGAATCGGATGGGGACATTAGTAATTCTTAACATAAAAGATTTTTTTTTAATAAGAAAATAAAAAATAGGGCGCCTGGGTGGCTCAGATGGTTGGGCATCTGCCTTCGGCTCAGGTCATGATCCCAGAGTCCTGGGATCGAGTCCCACATCGGGCTCCCTGCTCCTTGGGAGCCTGCTTCTCCCTCTGCCTCTCTCTCTCTCTCTGTCTCTCATGAATAAATAAATAAAAATATTTTTAAAAAAATTAAAAAAAATAAAAAAATAAAAAATAAAAAAGATTTTTTTTTTTACCTTGAAAGATTTTGAGGAAGATTAAATGAGATAATTGTCAAGAGGCTTAGCACGTAGGAGTCACTCAGTAAATGTACCCCTTGCTTTTTCCTGGCTGCACAGTATTTTGTTGCATGGATGCACATAATTCCTCTAATAGTGGACATATAGGTGGAATTCAGTTGTTCCATTTCCTGCAAGGGTGCAAAGGACATCCACGTGCACAGTAGGTAGCGTTGTGTAGTGGTTAAGAGTCTATCAGCCCTGCTGGATTTGAATCCAGTGTGTGTGACCTTTTTTTTTGCCTCCTATTCTCTTGGAATGGTTAAGATGAGGGGATGGGTAGGATGACCTCGGATGTCGTTTGAAGACATCGCTTAATTTTGTGCTCAGGATTAGAAGGTCACAGGTGGGTGCAGGGGAAGATGCAAGAGTCTTGAGGCCTGCTCTGCAGATGTGAAAGCTGGTGCACCCTATCTCAGGATCTCCCCGCCCTAGGGTGTGAAGCCAAAATGAACTCATTGCATTTGACAGACTGTTCACCGAGATGAGATAAGTGGGTGTCAGGCAGGGGGAAGGAGGTGTCAACCGCAGAGCAAGTGAGGTGAGAGCATGGAGCTCCCCACCCTTAACCCTGTCCAGAGTCATAGCCCACACTGCTGCTTAACCCTCTAAACCAAAGACAGTCCCAGATCCCCTCCTGACCTGGATTCCTTACCTGCTGTCCTTCTAAAGTATCCAGGCAACAGAGCTCCAGGACCCATGAACTGAGCCAGCCTGGAGCTCAGCTGGTGGGCCTCAAGGTTGGAGGTGGCCATGGTTGTGGGTTGAAACTTTTGAGGTTTTTAAAGAGGAAGTAGGGCATTTGCCTGTGGTTCCATTGTTTCTCCCCCTTACTGCCTGAGCCAGCCTTACACCCCTGGCTCTACTTTGCTTCCCAAAGTAGAGTGTGCCTGTTCTACTAATAATAAGTCCTGAGACTTGCATCCCACTTTCTATTTCAGCAGCATCCAACAAGCCTGTGAATTTCCAAGGTCTAGGTCATATTCCCATGGGCTATATTCCCAGCGACCAGTCCAATACCTGAGACATAGTTCTCATAGTCCTGAAGGGAATCCAGACTCTACTGTACCACACTTGTGGCTCTTTTTACCTCTTCAAGGTGCCCCTCTAGCAATTCTTCCTTGAGCTCTCCTTCCTCTCTGGGACACGGCATTCCCAACCTGGGTCATGTGATCTTGAGTCAGTCATTTTCTTTCTCCGAGTTTCAGTTTTCTTGCCTGTAAAACAGGAATAAAAGCATTCATCTTGGAGGCTCATTGTGCTGATTGAGTTGAGCAAAACATGTTGAAACGCTTTGCAGGGTTCCTGGCACATGGTAAGTGCCCAAATGCCAAAAGCTATAATTACTGTGGTGTGAAGACTGGCATGGGGCAGGACAGCATTGGGTGAGTGCGGTGGTCTCCAACTAGGGGCTAAAGAATAAAACGGAATGTAGTTAATCTTTCCAAGTGTGAGGCTCAAATTCTGGTCTTCCAAAGTGAGCCAGGAACATTCATCACAACTTTAATACTATTAGGAAGCTGACTTGCAGATACTTGCCTAACTAAGCTAAGATTGATGTACAATATTAATATTAACCCACATTTTCAAGTGCTTGCTTTGGGCCAGGCACTGTTCTAAGAGCTTTACATGAATTAACTTGAGGAATTCTCAAAAGAACGCTGTGAAGCAAGTACTCTTATTATCCTCATTTGACAGAAGAGGAAAGAGGCACAGAGAGGTTAAGTGACCTGCCATAAGGTCACAGAGCTGGGATTAAGTCCAGCAGAGCAAATATTCTTAATCACTCCGCATATTACTTCCGTATGGAGGTTTTTTCCAGTCTTGCATGGAACAGGGAAAAACCGGGAGTCCACAATACAGGAATGCCACATAGTTTGTCCATCCCTGCAGAGGAATACTATGTAGTCAGGAAAAAGCAAGAGGCAGCTGTGTATGTTCTGCATGAAATGATGGCCACAGTAGACTGTTGGGTAGAGAGAGCGCTGCACAACAGTATTTGCATCGTATAATCCTATTACATAAGAAGAAAATGAAAACGTTCACTTACTTGTTTGTAGGTTCATAGGTAAACGTCTGGAAGGATAAACACTAAACTATTCACACCGGCCACGGGGAAATTGTGAGGGAGGGGAGCTTCCATTTTTGTCTTTTTATTCACTGCTGTTTGAAATGTTTACCATTAGTATGTTTTATTTTGTCATTAACAGAAAGAGGAAGAAAATAAGTGTGCATGAGCCGGAAGCCTGACGAACTCTGTCCAGCCCTCCAGCTCTTGTCAGAGTCCTCTCTGGTGTCTCCCACTGACCCCGGAATCATAGTCCCCAAATCCTATTTCCCTTCCACAAGCACTTCCCCAAACTCCCTCTGCTCCCTGAGGGCTTGGCCTGGCCTGGGTCTCTCATCTGGGTCCAGGCATCTACCCAGGTTCCCTGGCGAGGAGGCTGTCATCCTCTGCCTGTGCCACCCACCCCAGGGATGTGAGATGTGGTGACATCACAGTTGGGCTAATGACATCATAGTGGACCTGGAGGCTGACAGGACAGAAGACCTAGCAGGGCTCAGGTGATGGGAGCAAGGAAGGGATTGGCAGGTAGAAGCTGTTTAGGGCGGGAACTTGAGGGACTGTGTCCTCAGCCTGCCTCCCAGGACATTCCTAGCTGGGCCTTTCAGGGATTGGAGATCCAGAAATCTCCAAGACCACTTCCCTTTTTGTTTCTAACCAAGAGGTTGTCCAGACTTTTTTGAGAATTGGGAGCAGAGTGTGATGCCAGGAGGGGGTGGAGTTGGCAGGTGGGAGATGGAAGCCAACCGTGTGTGTGACTCCTCCTCGGGAGGTGAGACTAGGGCCTTCTGTGGGTGCCCCCCTGTGATTCCAGCAAGGCGGTAGGGGAGGCAGGCTTGTGGCCTTGGAGGCTGGGAGGGCTCCAGCTTTGGGCGCATGGAGTTTGGGTGGATCAAGACTGCAAGGGGTGCTGCAAGCTCCTCCATGAATCTGGGAAAGGCAGGAAACTGTTTGTACAGGTAACTAACCACTCAGATCCTTGGCTCTTCCAGCCTGAATCCTGTTGCTTCATCTTCTGTTCTGGGCATATATTATGTAGGATTCTTTGTTTAAGCTATAGAAACCCTTTCAGGAGGATTTAGGAAAATTAAGTCCATTTTGAGGCGCCTGGGTGGCTCAGTCGTTAAGCATCTGCCTTCAGCTCAGATCATGATCCCAGGGTCCTGGGATCAAGCCCCGAATCGGGCTCCCTCCTCCGCGGGAAGCCTGCTTCTCCCTCTCTCACTTCCCCTGCTTGTGTTCCTTCTCTCACTGTGTCTCTCTCTGTCAAATAAATAAAATCTTAAAAAAGAAAGAAAAGAAAGAAAGGAAGAAAGGAAGAAAGGAAGAAAGGAAGAAAGGAAGAAAGGAAGAAAGGAAGAAAGGAAGAAAGGAAGAAAAGAAAGAAAGAAAGAAAGAAAGAAAGAAAGAAAGAAAGAAAGAAA